AGGAGGAGGAGGAGGAGGGAGGAGGAGGAGGAAGAGGAGGAGGCGGAGGAGGAGGAGGAGGACGACGGGTCGCCTGAGCCCTTTGGAGAAACCCTCCACCCGCACCCCCTCCCCTATCACCCCGTGGCCACCTCTTTCATTCCACACTCGATCCGCCATCCCTCCTCTTGGCGGCACGCCCAGCCGGAAGTGAAAGGGGGGCAGGCCTTCTTCTCAGAAGTCAGCAGGGCTCCGGAGAAGTCTGCGAAAAACTCCTCGAAAGGTCAGAGCCCCTCCTAAGCTTAGGTCGGGCATGTCCCCCTATAGGCTGATTTTCGACGACAAATGCAGAGAAGTACCCAAAAAATACCCGCGAATGGTAACACAAATACAAGAAAAATCGTCCCCCTACCATTTGTGACGATTTTTGACTATTCCTCCTGTAGAGGGACACGCCCGACTGAACCCTAAGCCTTCTGAGAAGGCCCGCCTCCTCTGCCCTGCCCCTGTCTGCCGATCCTCGCTCGCGCCATCCGCACGTGCCGCCCCGTCCTTGCTCCGCCCTCCCTGCACCTGCCCCCCCCCTTCGCCATGCCCCCCCGCCCCCGCGGGCAACGGCGCGGGAGGATCGGCGGCCGTCCAAGGCAGGGCAGGACGAGGGTCGCCCAAAAGAGGCCATCCCTCGCGCGCTCCTGGAGGGGCCGCGTCCTTCCAGAGGCCATCGCTGGGACCCCCGTTCCCCGTGCACTGTTCGGCCCCCTCGTGCGCCCACTCCTTCCCAGGGTGCTCCACGGATGCTCCGAGACGGTCCTCGCCGAACCGATGCTAAACCTCCCCGCCACCGCCCTCCCGTCGGCGCCCCAAGGGCCCAAGGGGGGCGGGCGGCGCGCGCCCGCGCGCGGGCGGCGCGCCCGACCGCCCCAGCCGAAGCCGACGACGCCGAAGCGCTTGCAGCCCTGGGGGTGCGCCCGCCCCCGCTGCTGCCGGCGCCGCCGTCGCCGCCGTCGTCGTCGTCATCGTCGGGCTGTTTCTCGGGCCCCAGGGCCAAGTGAGCGTTATATTCGGCGTTTCGACATTGGGAGGAAAGGGGGAGGGGGGGGGATCTAGCTCCGGACCTCAGCTTAAAGCGACTGTTTGCAGCAGTGCGTCCTTGGGGGAAAGCCTCACCTGCTCGAAACAAGCGCCAAAAACGGCCAAAATCTACTCCATGGCAGGTGGAAAAGGGGGGGTGCGATGGCCCGCGCCGGTCGGCAAAACAATATAAAAAACTCTATCATCAAGGCCATCGAAGAGCGACCCCTGGCGAGAAGCTTGTCCTGGGGGTGGAGTCGGAAGGTCGTGGGGGGCCCACACGCCGCCGAATTCTTCGCGTGGGGAGCTGGGCGGCGGGTCGTCATCGTCGTCGTCGTCGTCGTCGTCGTCGTCGTCGTCGTCGTCGTCATCGTCGGCCTCTTCGTCGTGTTTGTCGTCCTCGTGCTTGTCGTCTTCATGTTTATCGCCATCGTGTTTGTCGTCGTCATCGTCGGCCTGGTCAGTCTCGTCAGCCTCGTGGTTGTACTCTTGGTCGCCCCCGTCGCCCCCACCGTCGCATTCCAAGAAGAAGGGGGGAGGGCGGGGGGAAAAGGATGCTCACGTAGCAAATCTTGACGACTTCGGAGGGGGTCGGGCGTGTCACTGGGGCCCTAAAGGGTTCCAGGGAAGCCTGGCGAGGGTGCTGGGTTTGTTGTCCACCACCACCACCACCACCAGAAGTTCGAAGGGGAAGGGGTCCTCCTCCACCTCCTCCTCCTCCTCCTCATCATCATCATCCCCCTCCTCCTCCTCCTCCTCCTCCTCCTCCTCCTCCTCCTCCGCCTCATCCCCCTCCTCTTCCTTTTCCTTTTCCTCCTCCTCCTCCTCCTCCTCCTCCTCCTCCTCCTCCTCCTCCTCCTCCTCCTCCTCCTCCTCCTCCTCCTCATCCAACTTATGGTGGTGGTGGAAATCAGGCCCATCAGAGGGGAAGGAGGGAGGAGGGAGCGGGGGGAGGGTGTGTGACAAGAGGAGGGAAACGAAAGCGGGGTCAGTCGAGCCTTGGAGGCACTGGGTCAGGTCTGGTCTGCGCGGGGCGTTTGGGCGTCGCACGGCTGGCTCGGCAGCTTACAGCTGTTTGTCAGGTGTCCCCTGTTGTTGCCATGAGGATATGTCAAGAATAGAGGGCGGAAAATCCAACCCGATGATAACCACCCCGAAACGCGAAGCCGTTGAGTAAACGCACCCAAAGAAGGAATCGAACACTGCAGGGCTGTTTAGTAAACGCCCAGGGCCGTTTAGTACACGCCTATTGTCTGGCCTGGGTGAGGTTCCCTCCCTTGAAAAATGCGCGCGGGGGGCACCGGGCCAGCAACAGCTCTGCACGGGCGGTCTGGAACGCTGTCGTTTGCCGAGTAGGCCGACAGGCCCCCCCGCACCACCACAACCAAGAGAAAGACTCCGCAAATAGCTAGCAACCCTCACCGTCATCATTCCTAACCCTTAACTGCGAGTACGCAAATCCGCCCCGCATTCCGAGGTCGGAAGTCGGCGGGGGCAGGGCTACCAAATCCCCTCCTTTCCAATCCAAAAATAGAAAGACAAAAAAGTAGCAAATACAAGCAACTCGTTATTCTCCCCTCCGCCTTGGACCAGGCTCCTGGGAATGTGTACACGGGGGGTGGCTCTGACTTCCTCGACCATCAACCGATTCACCGACATTCGACGACTCAACGACCTCGACGACTCCTCTCTGGTCGGTCACCCCACACTTCTGCCTCCGCACGGAGGCTGCAAAACAAGACTCGACGAAGAAACTCCTCGATGCCTGAATGCGGCCGCCAGCGTCACTTGTCCTCTCTCATCCAGCTGCAGCAGCCGGTGGGAGAGCTCCCCGACCTGTACTCTCTGAGCTGGGGCGAGTCGCAATTCTACGTCTTGCCCTTGCTCTGCTTGCCCTTGCTGCTGCTGCTGCTGCTGCTGCTGCTGCTGCTGCTGCTGCTGCTGCTCCCAACCTCCGACTTGGTACCCTCTAGCACCTCGAGGAGTTCCTGCGCCGCCCGCTCGAGTGGGCCCCGCGGCGCGGGCGCGTGCTTGAGCAACCCTCCTGTTCATGATGAGCGCCCGAGCGATCACCTGCTGGAGAGGGCTATGTCGCTGCTCGTGGCGATCGTCACTTTGGCCAGCCCTGGCGTGCCCTCCCTTGGTTTGGCGGGTGTCCTCTTGCAGTACGTCACGTTGCCCAGCAGGTCGAGTGGGGTCTTCCCTTCTGCTTCCACCTCTGAATCCAGAAGATACTGATCGTTTTCGTTATGCCGTCCTCGAGGTTCGTGAAGCCGCCGAGCCGTGTACGAGCCCTGCGAAGACATGCGCGCACGGTGGGCCCCGGCGCTCCTGGGCGGCGGGGTCGTTCTTGGTCGTCTTGGTGGCCTCGTGGTAGACGCGCCCCTGGTTGAGCATGGCGGCTGCGGTCATGCAGGCCACGGCGATCAAGACAGGGAGAAGGGAGGGCAAGGAGAGAAAGGAGGAACACGTTCACCCTTCTATTCCTCGTGATGTCCTTTCTCATCGCCCTCCTCGGCCTCGACCTTCCAGTGACAGTGTGCTTCATCGAGTACCTCCAAAACAACGCAGAAGGAAACGCTGCAACGGATAGAAACCAAGATTGATCCTCATCCCCCCCCCCTCGTCATCATCAGCATCATCACCACCACCATGACCATCACCATCACCATCACCTTCACCATCACCATCACCATCACCATCATCATCATCATCGTCATCATCATCATCATCATCATCATCATCATCATCATCATCATCATCATCATCATCATCATCATCATCATCATCATCATCATCATCATCATCATCATCATCATCATCATCATCATCATCATCATCATCATCATCATCATCATCATTATCATCAGCATCAGCATCAGCATCAGCATCATCATCGGCCTTACCAACATATCAAACTACACCTGCTCCATCACCATCAGCATCAGCATCATCATCCACCGTGCCGTCATCGCAAGCATTGGCGACAGCATCATCACCAGCACCAGCATCATCACCCGCATCATCAACAACACCCGCATGATCACCGGCAACACAGACATCAGCATCAACTACATCATCGTAATCGGGAACAGCAGCGTCTGCGTAATCATCACCAGCTGCATCATCACCATCGTCGTCGTCAGCATCAGCGTCAGCATGCTCGCCAACATCACCACCAGCATCATCGTCATCGTCGTCATCACCAGCATTACCATCGTCGTCGTCGTCGTCATCATCAACATGATCATCATCAGAAGCATAATCATAGTCGACCTTCATTACCTCCTCCGACTCCTTCTCCGACTCGCCAACGTCCTCATTACGTACACTCGTCCTCATCATGGTAACGTCCTAGTGCGCATGGCATCCACTCGTGTTCATGTGTTTCCTCCTACTCCCGTCTCCCAGAACGGTCCACAGACCCACGCACCCACCCCAACCACCAACCAGTTCCACCTCATCATGTTCCACATCCGTCAACAACGCCATGCTTCGTCCTCCTCCTCCTCACCATCACCACCATCATTGCATGCTCACTAGCAACATTCCTCGCAGACAGCTCGAATCCTATCCCCGACTTCCTCTATCCGACTTTCTCCACGTCCCCATCCTCATATCACCGCGCATCATCCACATCCACATGCGCATTTCCATATCGCCCCCTCCTTCAAACGTGCTGCCATCCTCGTTCATGGCGTTCCTGGGACGACCCCTGGATATCCCCTATGGCGTGCTCTGGCAAGGATTTCGAGGTAGACATCGCCGTCTTGAAACCTTGGAAGCCGTCCGTGGAAACCCCGCCCGAAACAAACGCCACAAACGTCAAAATCATGTTGCATGCCTCCTGGTCATCATCATCCCAGTCACGATCCTCCATGTGGCCCTCCTCATCCCAGCCCGCATCCTTCCCAACATGACCTCCATCGTGCCTAAGCCTCCCGATCCTC